TATATTAAGATTAAATCAATAATTTTTATTTTTCTACATTTACAGAGTAAGTCTTTATCTAGTATTATATACATTATATATATATATTATTATATATTATTATATACGATGCTATAATATCATGGCAGTGAAACTCGTGATATAACACACTAAGCACACGAAATGAGAGATCATGAGCTCGAGTCCCAAGTCAACTCCAGTTTTTCGTTGCCGAAAAATGTAAGATTACTAACATTCTGCAAACTTCTTTCCACAAAAATAGAGCAAACTATTTCCTTTAGATCAGTTTAAAAGAATATTGTGTCTGACCTCATTTTTTTATTAAGAAAATTGAGATATTTTATTCTAGATTAAGAAAATTAGAAATATTTTATTCTAGATTTTAGAATTTTTCATTTAAAAATAAAATATAAATAATAGGGAGCATACAGCCACAACACTAGATGTTTTAAATATATGACTTCCGTTTAAAACATCTATTGTGGCTGTATGCTCCCTATTATTTATATTTTGTATTTTTAAGTCACCTTCAAACAGCTTAAAAATAAAATATTCTTCTCTAAAGAATAAATATGGTTGATATATCGATCTTAATTGATTCTAAATCGAAGAAAGAAGCGTTGAATATAGAAATCTTTTTTGTGGCTGATTTATGAATTTTCTAAATAATTTCAAAAGAGTAATTTAATAAGTTAAATTCATAAACAAATTGAAGAAATGTATAATACAGAAATAAAATAAACAATTTTAGAACAATTTTTAGGAATAAATGCAATAAAATATTTTAAATTTCATTTGAAACTTCTCAATATCGTATACAATATTGACATGCTATTAAGTTGTTTATTTAATATTATGTAAACCATGTGTTGCGTCTATTCTGCGTAAAGAGAATAAACGAATAAACGTGGAATAAACTGAGTTCTGAGCTATAAGCTCCAAAGTTTTCTTTTAGAACAAATGATATCAGAACTCGTTTGCGTGTGTTTAGAACACGTTACTTCGACGATTGGGAATCTTTACTTCAATCTTCTTACACGCTGTCTATCTCATGTTGATTGAGGCTTTATTAACGTGTAACAGTACACAATCCAGGAAATGTATTTACTAGATTAAGAAGACTAATTGAATTATGTAGATGATCAACGAGGAAGAATTTTATAAAAAATCATTCGTTCGTATTTACATATCGATGTCATGATGTTTTATTGACAATTGCAGATTTTTATCAGCAGATGTTATTGATATATATCTTAATGTCTTAACTCTTCAATGCAATATTATACTATTTTGTGAAAGATGCAATAGACAATGCATACTCAACCGAATTTTAATTACTTCTAACTTTTATGAAAATAAATATATTATAATAAATTTTATTTTTTCGATCAAGACATTAAGGAATATTACAATAATATCAAGCGAATATATGTACTTTGTAAAAAAGTTACATGAATAAAAATAATAAAGTAAACAAAAGTTTCCCAAAAAAGATGTTTTTTTAAGCTTAGTATGCCATAACGAGAGTAGAATTTGAAGTGTTAATTTTTAAATTTTTATTTCTTTAAAACGAGAAAGGGTAATTTCTTTAAGAGCTTCTTTCCTATAAGAGATCTTTCAATGCATTCTTTCTAATAATGTTTTCTCTGAAGGAAACATATAGGAAAGAACATTCGAACACAGAGATCCTTCTGGCAAAGCAAATGCTTTTTCAATAATTAAATAATTTTCGAAAATAAATTGAATTTCTTTACAAGTTATTTATACAACGTTGTCATAGTTTCAGCGACTTATTGTTAGGTAAAAAAGAAATTAATATTCAGTCCAAGAGAGAAACGACGTTCCCTGCGAATTTCTGCCGCGTTCATTTTTCCCTGAAGCGTCTGTCGGCGTCACGTAGGCGACTTTCCACCGACGCAATTACTCGAAGACCACCGACAACGTGATAACGTACATACCAGCGACTCAAACATCAAGGTTCTTCTCTCTAGCTGCTAATTTCAAATGCGTCAAATGAAAAAAACCGAGCGGGGGTTTGCAACGGTTTTTTGTATTTTGATGATATGCAAAATTACGTGCGAGCTAACATTACATCTTGCAAAGCTGTAGCCTCTATTCTCATAGTCTGCTTCCTCTCGAATGTATTCTAGTTGGCTTTTACCGAAATCAAAAACATCATTATGCTCTTATGGAAAAAGATTTCCTCTGTGTTCTCTACTTTCTAATTATTGGATCGCTTTTTTTCTTATTAGATTACCTGTTCTCAAATCAACTTCGCTTTTGAAAATAACACTTAATTAGGAAAGGCACTGTCTAAGCCATGACAAAGCCAAATATTCTTGTTTGTTAGGTACTACGATAAGTACCTATACTGAGTATGCCCTGCCACAAGACTAAAGTAACGTTAATAAATCACCAAATGCATTTGTTGTCAAGTAAATAGTCATTAATGGCTGACTTGATATTATGACTCATATTACGTGTTCAATGTAAACTTGACCTAGAATACGAATCAAAAAGGTATTCAATTAAAATAATACTATCAAAGTATGAACTTCGTCAGTTAAAACTCATAGGTGTAACGTTAGCTAG